AATTAAAAAGTTTTTTTGAAAAAGGAAGAAAACGATTTTACATGTTTTTTAAAATGTTGACAATATGTTACATTTACCCCATGGTACGGGGTAAATGTAACAAACGATTCTAAAGTGAAATACAATTATATAGAAAAACATCTAGGGCAATTGTAAAAAAATATTGGGTTCCTCTAAAATTTGATATGCTGTTTATTTATTTATTTCAAAAAATAACAGAGCTACAAAATAATAAAGAAAAAATAAGAAACAAATCCTGTCTAATGCACAAAAGAACTATAAAAATAATAAAAACATTAACATAATAGGTAAAAATATTACATTTACCCCATTGTTACATTTGCCCCAATCTACCTTACCTATAAATACTCAATTTAAAATCAAGAATTATAGAGATAGAAAAAAGTGTTCAAGAAGTAACAAATAACATTATTTAATTACTCATTAAAATCAAGAAAATTTTTGAAATTCGAAAGTTAGTAATTTTAATTACGGGTCGTATTTTCGGTGTAGGTTTTTTTTTGGTTGCGTGGTGGTTGCGCCGCAAAGGGCCCCAATCTCGTCCCAATCAGCATCGCAACGGCCTTTTTTTTCTTTTCCGAGAATGCAGAAGTGACGGAGGCGAGGCAGCTCTCTCGGATACGGTAGCCGATCTATCCGTCCAGATAAGTGTTTCGATCTCCCCGTTCCAATTAAGGACTGATTGTCGCGAAGTTTATGGAATACCAAATTAACTTCGGGAAAACAGATATTAATCTTTCGGTGTAGTTGCCGGTTGCTAGATCGTTTTCTCGTTCTCTACCTGTCCTTTGTGGCGATTCGGAATCGATCGTGAGACCTCATACACCAGGACCTATACCAGCAGGAATCAATCAACACGGGGTTTTGTAAATACTTGTATATAGTAGGTGCATACACATCTAATTATATCCAATTTACTTTATCGTAATAAATTTCAACTGCGTTATAGGTAAACGGGGAATGGGACGTTTTCGAATAACTATTCTTTTTAATTAGCGTTGATGCAGTTGTATATTCAAATGAAGGACCATTTGTTTGTATAATTAATTCGATTCGTATATAATGTTTAATTTTACCAGTTTAAAATTCCTTAATTGCGTGCGCGTTCGGATTCGGGTTGGTTGTGTCTAATAAAAAGCGACACGGGTCGCTTTTTCCGAAATCGTTAAAAATAATCGAGGGGCCCACCTAAAAGATCTCGACACGCATCCGAATTTAACGAACAACATTATTTTCTAGGAAGCGGGAGGGAATTATAATCGAGGAGAAATCGAGCTACCGGCGGACGGGCGACCCCCCGAATATTCGTCCGATTTAATTTGTATTCGGGCCTTAATTAGAGCTCGAACGGGCGGCCGTATTTAAAAACTCAATTTCCTTTTTCTTCGAGAGACCAAAATTTTTATACGACCAGCAATCTTATCTCAATTTAATTTGTGCTTTAAATTGGGAGAGACGGACGTCGGAATAAATCTTTTATTTTATTTTTGGATTATTTTTTTTTTGGAATTAAATTGTATCGTTTCTGTATTAATAGTCCGTGGGACTAAATTAACGCATTATAGAAATCGTTTATTAATCATCTATACATAGAATTTACATCTAATAGACTAGGTACCTACATACACTAAGAAAAATTGTTTGTTCAACTCAACAATCAACGTTTAAAAGAATGGTTTGATGGGGTTAATGAAACGAACAAAAATGATTTGATAGAAATCTCATCGACTATATTCGGTTAGGTTTTATTTCCATCTTCGTCCGGCCCATACGTGGCGTCGAATTAACGAGAGAAGCTGGCGCGGTGGGACTGATTCCCTTCCGAAACACGTATCTTCACGATTTAGCTAATTGGGACAATAAATTTATGGTACGGTGTCCGACTTTAATAGGCTGATTGTCTTTTGTTCCTTTGGCATCTGTTTCTGATACGCAGTGGGCCATGAAAATATAATCGGCTCGGAGATCTCTTCTCTCCTCTTCGGTATCGCGATGGTTCCGTTGCCAGATAAAACGCGAAACGAAAACTGGTCGGGCGTTGATTGGGTGGGTGCGGTGCTCGAATGTTTTGCCATATATTTTTTTATTTTCTCTCTTCTTCGACTTTTTTTCTCAGTGTAGTAATTGGATTCGGTTGGTGTCCAAGTCCAATAGTGATGATGGTTTGATCACTTGTTAGATTATATTCAGTGTTTAAATACAATATACCTACCTATAGTGTACCTAACTTGTAAGTGTAATTTTTCGATTTTTTAGAGTAAAAGAAACGTACTGAATAGTCCTGAAAACGTTCTAAATGGTTCCGAACTTTTCAATCTATTCAAAATGGTTTTGGACTACTAGTAAATGGTTCTAAGGTCAACCTAAAATGTGTCAAATTGTCTCAGTCACTTATAAAAACTCATTCTGGACAGTTCTAATTTGTTCTGGAGCAGTTCTAAATGGTTCTAAGGTCAATCTGAAATGTGTCAAATGGTCTTAGTCACTTATAAAAACTCATTCTGCAATGGGCAGTTCTAATTTGTTCTGGAGCAGTTCTAAATGCTTTTAAGCACAGCCTGAAATATGTCAAATGGTCTTAGTCACTTATAAAAACTCATTCTGGACAGTTCTAATTTGTTCTGGAGCAGTTTTAAATGGTTCTAGTTTTAAATGGTCTTAGTCACTAATAAAAACTCATTCTGACACTTCTAATTTGTTCTGGAGCAGTTCTAAATGGTTCTAAGGTCAACCTGAAATGTGTCATTTTGTCTTAGTTAGTTCTAATCGGTTTTGGAACATCAGTTCTAAATGATTCTAAAATTATTTTGAACCATTTGATTCAGTTATAATACCAGTATCTCTCTCCTTCTCGTTGCATTCAATTACACTACATCTTTCTCGCACTTATTGGATTTTTCCAACATCATAGTTGTTGCGCCCCGATCCTGTATATCGATGGCGTTAACAGTTACAAAGAAATTCACACGATACACGGTATAAATACCGAAGCGAAAATAACACCGTAACTTATAGAAGAGCAATTAAAGAAAATACAATGCTCGCAGGAAGAAAACGACCCGAACAAGTTCGAATCCGAACGGCGATTTATAACGATCCGGAATGCGGTCTATTAATAATTTAAATGTTAATTTGTTAATTAATGATACAAATTGCTTCTGCGATATGTGTTTTATGAACGCCAGATATGGTCGCCGGCCGGCCTTAATTGCCCGCGTTTCTTTCGCGTTTTCTACTTTGATCTAGATCGAAAATTGATTGCGAAAAAAAATTATGAAAAAAAAAATGTATTCCAACCCTGCGTTTCGCATCCGCGTAAATCCCAAATACGGCGACCGTTTTATGTTCTCTCCAGTTCGCACGCGGCATGCAGATCGAAATTTCCCAGCACTGAAATTTTACGGCTCGCTCTTCTCGGTCCTCATGCCTTATTTTACTCGGCCGCCGTTTAGGTTTTCCGTTTCGCTAACGATCCGATCGAGAATGGCGATTTCCGATCCGAGACGGGAATTCTTCAAATGACGCGACGCCTTGTTGGTGGTCGAGGATAATTCCGACGATGTCGAAGAGTTAATTCGATGTCGACGTTCGAATAGATTAGCGATTATAGAGGAGTCGATACGTGCGGTTTCTAATTCGGAATTTAGATTGCCCCTGTGAATATGCACGGTGGGTGGAATGTTGCAACCTCCCGAATCTCTAGCACCATCTATCAAAAAATTAAATTTATATTGTTGGTGCAAAATGAATATCAATGCATGTCACTACTGTCGTCATATATTTGCCAAGCATTGTGTCGAACTTTTAAAACCTGCAGAATTTCATTTAATATTAACAAGGGATGATAGAAAATGTTAAAAAGCAGAATTAAATCATTTAAAAAAATATGCAATGTCAAAATTCAACGTTTGTGTATAAAATTATTATTTTTTTATAGTAGATTGGTAGGTATTGTAGTTTACTAGTTTACTAGCCTCAACTACTAAAGGTTATTCAGCTGAAAAATCAATAATTTTTGCGTAGTTATCTTTTTCCACATGTTAGAAATGACACAATTTGAGCTCTGAATAATTCAGATTCTGAAGTTTTCTCAGAAATTTCTCTATGTACTCTTTTAATGGTCAATTGTATACAAAATTTCTTACTCGCACTCTTTAATATATTTCAGATGATAATAGAATTTGATGATTAATTATAGTGACCCCCCTGAATACATCCACCGTTTAAAAACGTGAAACAGGTACACCAAATTTTCAATTTGTTCTTGTCATTTTGCCATTTGACAATTTTAGAAAATTCTTACATTTTTTAAACTCTATAAAAGCTCAGCAACACTGCCTACTTGTGACAGAGTAAATTATTGGTGACTTGCATTGATATTTGTTTTTCACCGACTGTACATTATAATTTGGCGTTTTTTTTAGTGCTATAAGTTAGTGTATGGTGTAGGTGCTAAGTCCGGACGAAATTCATTTCGCTAAGTAATTAGCCGTAAAACTGCTATGGGATATGATATGGGATATATCGCGTCCGTAGGCGTGAATTCTTTCGCTGAAAAAAAGATAGTGAATCACACACGAAGCAATAATTTTTAGCGTGTTTGAGTGCTGCTAAAATGCAAAATGACTTTCAATCAGATACCGCCGTCGGACTCACGGCGTGTCAGTGGCAATTAAACACCATAAATATATTCAGAGACCATTTCTGTAATTACTTTCGGATTAAATATCGGTTTCGCGTTACAGGGTTGTCTTTCATTCGACGGGTGTCCGGCTACCGAACCCGCCCGTGCCTGCAGCGCTCTTCGAAATTATCGAATCGAATATATTTGCTATTTAAATTGAGGTCAATTCCTCGGACTAACCTTAATCTACTAAAAAAATATCTTTGTGTAACATAACAATGACGCGAGGAAAGTTCAATGGGACAATAAAGTCGAGAAATCAAACGGAATTAATTATAAAAACAAACATTTAATATCGTATCTTCGCTATTTACAACAATATACAACAAAATTAAATAAACTTTGTACATAAAATAAACATAATTACATTTTTACAAAAAAAAAGAAAATCGGCTAATCAGTCTTGTACGATTTTTTTTACATGAATCAAAATTGCCCGTACGAATTGCACCAATAACACGTGAGTATTCTTGCGTAATATGACACATAATTTTTCCGTTATTAACAACAAATCAAAGTCCACATGATGACAATATTTAAAAAAAAAGAATAACTACTGTCGAGTCACTGAGAAAGTACGTATCACTATAAAAAAGTAAACACAAAAATAAACGATCTTTGGGAGAAATGCCGAGCCCCGACCGCGCATCCATCATCATCAGGTATTTTCGTTTCGCTCGCGCCGAGATCCGTTCACCATCACTGCGGTATGTTCAGCATGGGCGCCGAAAAGGCGAAATTCGGCGGCCGGTGCGCCATCGCCGCCAAAAACGGCGACATCAGCGGCCCGCCGCCGGGGAAGAGCCCGAAGCTGGGCGGCAGGAGCGGCCGGGCGGACAGCCGCAGCTTCTCCAGCTCGGCCTCCTGCAACCGCTTCGCCTTGGCCCGCCGGTTTTGGAACCAAATTTTCACCTGAAAATCGCACAAAAATTTCCTATTAACTCTTTTGCCATTTATCATCAATACTTTTAGGAATTATAAGCTACTAAGACCAGGGGTAAGTTGGGCGCCGAGAAAATGGTATGTTATTTTAATGATATAGGTAAATTAAAAGCGAGAATATTTCAGGAAGATGAGATTATTTGAGTTCATTGGGAAACTTTGAAAAACATTGAAAATTCTTGGCATAATTGGCAATAATGGAGAACGTTATATTTGAAGAATATAACGCTTATTATGTAACAGTCGTTACTGCACCTCTATACCAAAAAATCGATTCACACCTCTATTAAACTTCTGTCATACGAAATGTCATTAATGCCAATTTCGATAGTATTAATTTATGTATCATCGAACACATCTTAAAGCTCCACTTATTCGCGTTCAATGCAAAAAATAGTTATCTATCGTACTGAAGATATAGAGTAGGGTCGAATTCTCTACTAAATAAGATAATAGCAAGATATACGAAGAATAAAAATTTGATATAGGAGTATTGTGTGATTTATTACCTGGGTTTCGGTGAGCCTTAACGAACTGGAGAATTCCGCCCTCTCCGCTATGCTGAGGTACTGTTTATCCCGGAATTTCTTCTCCAAGGCGAGTAATTGTTGGGTGGTGAAAGGGGTGCGGGGTTTCCTGTTGGGTTTGTGTTTTCTAAGGGCGCATCTGACAATCGGGGGCCCGCCGTTGGTAGTCAGGTTTTGTAGATTCGCTGCAACAAAAATTACGCCTGCTTTAATCAATAATAATCGTATCGATAGTCAAAGAGAATTTTGCGATTGTATTTTACGTTCGTATTTAATTATTTTCGACAAGTAGAAAGGCTGGAACATTCTTACAACGTAATCACGCATTAGGTACTTGTTTACACAATTCATTATTTATTGATGTTGGCTCGTAAGTACTTTCACAACGAATTTTATGCACACGACTATTAAATGAGTACAAAAACGGAAGGTATTACATTATAATAATTATAAAAAAATAGGTTTGTTCACATAAGTAATATAACGGGTGTCCCATAAATATAAAATAGTTATTAAATAAAAATTCCTGGGTAGTGAAACCTATACTGTAAAGTTCTTTCATTATTGAGAATCAAAGGAGGGAATCAATTATGGGGTTAGTGCTGGTGGTAATTCAACTGGTTCTAACTCACTGAGAAAGATTATACTACATTCTGATATTTTGAAGTCTGGTATTAATTTTTATTTCACTCTTAATATAAGATATATTTTATACATGATTTTTTAATTAAGGTATTTTGGAAATTAATAAAAATGAATCAAACAAATTAACAACACAAAAATAACACATTACAAAACATCAAAATCTATAAGTACATGCTTATCATTTGTACGCATATTAAAATTTTGCGAAATTACGAAATGATTCAATTAAAGACAATTATAAATATAAAAGTAGTATTTTTCCAAAAAAATAAGAAACGCATTATTAACGTTCTCGACCAATTAAGGAATGTCGCAACAATTTAAACAACCGGGTAATTAATATCCTAGCAAAAGAAACGTTTAATAATTTGTAAAAACACTGAATTGGCATTTCAGCTGCGACGTTGTTAATTGACGTTCTAATTGAAATGGCATTTATAATGGCGTAATGCGCTAGGAAAAAAATAATAATTGCAAGAATGCTTTCCAGCGATAATAAAACTCTTTTTCGTTATTAAATAACTTTCGATGAAGAATTTGTCGAGGGAACGTTCAAACAGAAGATACAGCGAATAAAATTTATGTAATTATTGAATATTTTAAGTTAGATACAAATTTAATAATTTATCTAGAGAGGGTGTTGTAAACTTGTTTAGTAATTTGTGGTGTATGCTCTATAGACGCTCTGTCTTTTTAGTAAATTTAGTTAAATTTATTTGCGATAATTTGCAAAGTGAAAGAATTACAATATTTGAAATCTATTAATTGGTGGTCTTGTAACGAGAATAAAAACTAATAAATTCGTGATATTTACAGAATAATTTGCTCAATACAATCTTCTATTAGAAAAAAAAAACTCACTTTGTGGTGAAGACGATCTGAATCCGTTGGGTCCGATCCATTGAAAGGGCCACTGAGGATGTCCCGGAACCATCCTGGGTAACGAGGGATGCAAAGGTTGGGGAATGATCACAGTATGCGACGAATTGGGACTCAAACTCTCCCTGCCGTCGCCGTCGGTATCCTCATCGTCCACGGTAATGTTCTCGTCCTCGTCCTCGTCCAATCTATCACTAGCCGCGTCCAATCTGTCGTCCTCCTCGAACTTATCCTCGTACTTAACGTGCTGCTGGTGCTGGTGCGACTTGTCGCTCAACAACGATTCAACACTGAACGATATCTTCGTTTTGATCTCGGTTTTGGAGTCTTCCATGTTCGGTGGTTTTGTTCGCACGAACCATCAACTTCTTAGTTTTATTTTTGTATGTTTTATTATTTGCACACACAGATATATAGTCTGGTCGACCGGTCGACGCGCCTCGGCTTCTTCTCGCTCGTGTTGTCGCTTGTTCGGTGAGCAGAAGCGAACTGGAACCGAGGAGGAATCCGAAGAGTGGGATCGCTCGTTTGGGAATATCCGCCGAACCGGGCGGAGTTTGAAGGTTTCCAAATCCCGCCCAGCGTTTATTAGACGGAATGGGAAGGGATATTCGGGATGACCCCTTAGGTGAAATTGATGCCTAGCGTGATTCCAGCTTATTATATCATTTGTCCTTATGTGTCTGCTATTAATTCGAATTGATTATGGGTGTATTATTATGTATGGGCGTAGATTTGGAAGGATTTTCTGATTGCGCCTCGATGTAAATTTACTCGATAGGTTTGGTACTCGATATGGTACCCTATACACCACGATTTGCTAAATTCTATAGTCAATACTCTTGTAGCTAGTTACCTCTATATTATATTGTGATAATTATCTAACTCTTATCTTACTCTGTATAACAAATAGAATTGTATTGAATACAGAGATGACAAGAGATATGAGATGATCTAATTAGAGGACTTTTTCGAGTATTGGTGTGAAAAATCTAATCTTATTACAAGCAAATTATTCAATATTACTGACCAATTAGTACCATTTTGCAATAAAAACCATCTTATTAGATGCACCATCAAATGCGATATGAATTATTTATAAACCATCCCTGCTTTTATCGTAACATAAAAAATAGACATTTATTCCCCTCCATATTTGAATAAAAGTTTTTTTAACATATTCGTTATATTCGATAATTTTTAAAGCAAATGCATCCATTTCTACACCTAAATGCGGAATAATAGCAACTCATATCGACTCAATAAAAATAAATCACATTTAAATATCACCAACGGGCAGGCCGGGTATTAAAAATAAAAAAAAATCATGTATATACCAGTACAAAGCTACGTCACGACTGAGTAAATTATGACATTTTCTCATTATTCAACCCGCCGACATTCATCATATCAGAAAATTTGTTTTTTTTTGTTATTCTGCAGTATATACGTGGGTATGTACATTGTACGTTCGTGCTTTGCGTATAGCAATATATCGTCGTCTCTTTTCAGATTATGTCAAAACATGTCGTTTATTTCATGTGATCGAACGATAGTACAGTCAAAGTACTGGAAAATCCGACCGCGAGCTCAGAAAATTCTGAAATTTATCCTCAACTTTATGCAATCAAAATAATATAACAATTTTTACAATTCCATTAACCTATATTAACCTACATTAATCTGCATGTTACTAAGAGATTAAATTAGAGCCTATATAAATCTTGGCATCTAATATGTGGAAAATTCTGGGTGAGTGTCCCACCCTAATTAATAAGCAATAATTCGATTAAATATATCGTTGGGTATAAATGAGGAGATCATAGTGAAATTTTCCCGAGCTATAAAATAAGGGGAACGATAGCATTAAATTGATTTTATTGCCCCCTCTGTGATATGAACCGATCCGGGGGGAGGAGACAATTGGAACATAGGCGGGCAAAGCACTCTATCCATTGCCAATCAACGGGAAATCGACCGAGGCGAGGGGGACGCCGATGTAATTTTCCCCCCTCGTTTTTATTAATATCGCTCTCTCTTCTCTCTTCTCCCCCCCCTTTTTTCGAGGGCCGTCGACGTCGCGACGTCGCCGTCGCCGCGCCACTCGATTACTCTTGTACAACATGATTAATTTGTTGTTTGGTTAATTAATTTCGAACATGTTACGGCGTTTCGTGTTTTCTTTGTTTCCATAGCCGTCGGAGCCGTTGTAATTGGACGATTCTGCTTTTTGTTTTTATGCTAAACAGGGTTTCGGATTGTATACACTTTGTTGCGATTTTCGCCGGCGCTTCGAAACTTTGTTAGTGTATGGCTAACGGGAATTAATCAAAATATTCGAACGGGAGTCGTTTTTCCGACGAAACAAAAGGCGCCCCTACGCGGGAGATAACCGATTCTCGGACGACGAGAGGCCCTCGTTTTATCGCCGGCCAAAACTCTGTGCGAAATTCGATTAGTAAACAACACCACGTATACTGATAAGGGACCACCCTATTAGTTTCCTCTCGTGGTTTCGGGCCATTGTCGATTTTAAAAGACGTTTAACATTCGACAATTCAGATTAGTTGGTGGATCGTCGCCTGTTGGTGTCATTGTTGCCCGAAGATAATAACATGATTGACACGTGACAAGGATGACACAAGTTCCATATCAACTCATTATATCGATGAATGAAGATATCCACGTATTGAGAAAGTTGACTCGAAACATGACATCTCGTAAAAAGAAACACAAAGCTTTTACAGATAAGTGCAAATTTGTATGAAATATGATTAGAATAAAGAAAGTTTATTAAACTATAACCAGTGGTTCAAAATTGTCTTTGTACTCATATAGTATTTCAATGCATCACCCTGTATATAGCAAACGTTTGTAATTAATAACTAGAACCCTACGTTTCTATCGTCGTAAAACCGGCGAAACTCAAATTAAAATTTCCATAAAAATTTTTTAATTAAACTTTTTTGCGACCGCCAGGCGCACATTTAAAAACGCGAATTTAATAAAAATGGTTGTCTACCCCATTAACTTGCGTTAATTTCAGAAAATACAGCGGCCGGCGATCATTTTTTTCCTTATTTTTGCGCCATTTAACTCCGTTTTAACTCGATGCGAATTATACAGAATGTGCAATAATGATGGAAAGATATACGAGAAGCTTTTTATCTTTGATGCTTATGAGGTTTTATTGCAACTAGTCAGGGAACGGGGAAGTTGAAGGGTTTTTTTATTCCGGAGAGCTTTGTCGTTTTGTGTTTTAATCTTTTCTTCAGCAATTTAGCTTAATGTTGGCTTTTGCATTTGATTTTAGATCTTTATTGTTAAAGAGCAGGTTATCGGGCAATTTATCCTCACATCAAATACGTTTTTCTTTATCTCCATATTACCCTAAGAATTTTTAATGCAAATTTATATTCTTCATTATACTATATTAAAAAAAATCACTAATTACTACATTTTTACGAATTCTTGCATTTTATATCGAGTTGTTTAATTTAGTGATTCTTGAATCGAGGCTTTCGGGATAACAGAAAATTGACTGTTTTAAATCGAACGTTAATTAACTGTGACCGGAAAAAACCCCATCGATTTCGCGCTTTCAATTCGAACGGTGCAATATTAAACGGTTGAAATAGCTATACGGGGGCTTATCTGTTTTTTTATGGAGCGTCATTTGGACCGTCACAATCATTATAGTATTTTTAAAAATGATCCCTTTATTTCGCCCGGGCGGCAGTTTAGATGCTTCTCGGATACATAAAATGTAAATCATTCGAGCTAACTGCTTTTCACGATATCGCAAGGATCGAATGGTAAAGCTAATTTTCCAACAAAATGCCTACCTGGCGCGTTCGAAATCGAACCTATTTTTGTTTACGTTACAGGTACGCTTACCTGTAAATCTCCAGTTGACTTTTCGACGGTAATCTTCCCTTAAAATTTCGAAAATAAATACTATAGGCGTTACACGCGTGCCCAAGAGTTGACCGACTTAGATTTTAATCTTTTCAGGTGTCGAAAATCGCATACACAAACCGTCCGAAATTTCGAATTTACCGAGAAAAGTTTGTTGTATTTTTAATTATTTTTAGTCGACACTTGTAAATTTTTTCGGAGGGTTAAGAGGATTAACGTTTGAAATGTAAATATACAATACAAATCGTTTCACAATAGGTGTACAGTGCAGGCAATTTTCAAAATCTAAAATCCAAACAAAAATTGCTGCGATACTTCCAGGAAAGTCAAATTGTTTAAGTGAAAAATTTTCTCGAGATGAGCTTTCGCTGTTTACCCGATCACATAATTGTAATTTATTACAACATAAATAGTAATATGTCAAGTAATCAGCAATTTTTCGTTGATAAAACGGCGTTTTATCAGCAATTAGACCACCCGTAGCACATGTTTACAGGCCTTTTAAAGGCAATTATTATGATGTAAATACAATTTCGAATCTTTTAAAATTAGTGTCGAAAGTTCAACGTTTATTCAGATAAATATAGATTTATTTCGATTCGACGGCGATAGAGGAGAGAGAGAAATTGATTTTGTCAATTTAACTTGTAATAAATAGTAGATATAATTTATATAAGTGTTTAATTCAGTAATTAAATTGTATGAAACTCGATTTTATTTGTTGTACGTTGCACGATAAGTAACTGGGAGGTCAATTTTTAATTAAGAATAACGCTGGGTTATTAAATTCGTGTAATTAAATATCCGTTTTTGCTTTCTCCTGGAGAAGTTTGGGAATTACATTCTCGTAAATCAAGGAGATAATATGAGAAAAAACGAATGTAATTTTTGACAAATTTAGGCTAACTGCCAATCTTGCTAAACGAATTTCGAAGCGTGCAATCAAAGAACAATATTCTGACAATAAAAGTTTGTTTAGTGATACATGGGTTCGGAGCGAGAAAATTAAGAAACCAGTGTCGTCACACTAAATAAATTGTTTTGTTTATTTAAAATAGTAACTCGGGGATGAAATTCGCAGTATATTATATTAGTTTTTATTTAGGGCTAAGTGGTAAATTTTCGTATTAAAATTTTGGTGGTTTCGCTCGAATATTTAGTCAAAAAAATATAATAATAGAATGAAACGCCAATGAGTGTTGCGGCCGGTCCTGAGGTCCGCGCGAATCGCTGCCGCCCCTGGCTGTTATTCCTATTGCCCGCGCGGAGGGGATACCGTTTCGCAGCGTCCAGCCGTCGAATTTTCTAGTTTCAAGAACTAACAAGTTTGAACTCGATACGATAAGACACGAAAACGTCGAGCTATTTTTTCTTGTATATTCACCGTTCAATTTACCATTTTTTTGTGTTATAACGTTGTTAATGTTGCTGTTCCTTTTCGTAATATAAATTGTTACAAACATATTGGTCCTTCGGCAAGCGGATAAGGGAATCAGAAGACTTCTGAAAACGAGTGAGTTTCCTATTTTATCCTTTCAT